GCGGTAGGACAAGAGGGTGGCGTGGTGTGAAGTCTTGGAGGGTTGCGTTGAGAAGTGAGAATGAAAGTTCGAGGACCATGGCGCGGGGTGAGGACCAAGCTTTCCGGTCAGGCCAGTTATTTCACACAGCTGGCATTGCAAGAGGATATTTTCAAAGCAAGTACCTAAACGTCGTGGTCAAGCACGTTTCGGGGGCTAATTCTTACATGGCTGGGAACTAAGAACCATAGACCGATGAAATATTGAAATATTATGCTTCATCATTGATTCCAAATGGTTCTCATGAATAATTTGATCATCAATGACTATCCGCCCAGTCCCCTTATCCACTCGGCGAGAAGCAGGGGACTAGTATACATACACACCCAACCAGACAGAGCAGAGTTAATGTGAATTTATGGGCTGGACAAATCTGGCGAACATCGAAAGATGATTTGAAAATCAATGTGAAACCATGAGTTGTGTCCAGTGGAAGTAATAGAAATGGGCCATACGGACAACACTGATAGCATGATTGGTTGGGGATTGACGTAGAAAATTCGAAGTATATGACCCTTACGTCGCATTTTTGTCCTGCGCTCGTTTGTGATGCACGGTAAGTACGGGTGTGATCCGCGAGCGTGCGCTTGTATGGCTGGCTTGGTGTGAACACGGTAGGTCCAATGCAGTGCAACGCAATGCAGTGAATTGTTTTGCGCGTCAAAAGGAGCGTGCACTTTTTAAGTCGCTGAACATGAACCAGTTGTATATGAGTGGCCCATTATCTGAAATCAGATGCGTTCGTATCAGTGGCGGGCTTTCTTGCGCGCGCTACCGAGGCGCCGCCTGGGGCGCGATGTGTCTGCCCTTCCTAGCGTCGTGCCTGTTTGGTGCTGTACGCTGTGGGCGGCGCTGTTAGAGGCCGCAGGACGGCCGGTGAGACGGAGGTCAGGGTTGAGCACAGAGGGAGCGAAGTGAATACATTCTGTTGCGACTGGTGACGTCACGCTGCTATCCGTGGCCGAACTAGATCATGCTGCGCTGGGTTGGTCTTACGGTCGGCATCATTTCCTTCTGCCTCGCACGCTGATCAAGCATGTTATTTCGCTTTCGGTGCAAGTTTAGGACAAACAGAATGCTTTCGGATCAAAAGCGCCAAGGAGCCCTAAACTTGCGGACGCACCTGCGCGTGCGTGCACTAAATGAAAATGAGTCTTGGGCTGGTAACTTGCACTCCAAGCCATTTCGAGTGTGTTGCATGCCGCCTTTGCTCGCCAGTCAGATTGTACCGGCCTCTGTTCTCTTGCGATTGTCATTCGGCATTTTAGACGCACACGACTGCCTGAGGATTTTCATGCGGGACTCAGCCATGTCACGGTGCTTGAGCGCCACATCCCCTCCCCTCTGGCCATGTGCCACCTGACCTTTGTCCACCGGCCGGCCAAAACAATGGACGGTAAACAGCGTTCGTTGTGGAGTCGGGTGGTGACGGCTTAGTCCCTCTCCCGGGGGCGGGGGGTACACAGACCCTGTTGGCCACCGGTCGGCCCGACGTCGGAGCCGGCCAGCAGACAGCGGTGCCGGCTACCGAGCTGCCGAGCAGCGCTCCGCATTCGCCGCTCCAGCGGCCTGTTGGCTCTGCTGGCCCGCCTCCGTCTCCGGTCGGCGAGGCGGCGCTGCAGGCCAGGCTGGGCGGCGCCGCCCACTCGGCGCGGCCTGCAGCGCCGCTCTATCGGCGCATCGCTCCCCTTGTTTGCCGCTGTGATTACACGGTGGCCTTGACGCCGGCCACGGGATTTCCCCGGTGTCCTGTAGTAATGGCGTTGATGTGGTTTTCTCGGCCCTGCCGGCTTATCAGCCAGTTATTTGATTCCTGGAGGGCACTGCCCGTCACTGAACAACTTTGTTGCAAATGTATATCTGCGATTTGCAACCGGTTTAGTGGGGATGCAACAGATAAGCATTGAAAAGTCGCATACACACCCATTTTTTAAAGTTTAAGGCTGCGCGATTTCCGGTTTGTGTAACTTTTGCACTGCTCCGTGCTACCCCGTCTTCGTAATTATTTACCGTTTGTGGTAACATAATTCCTGGGGAATGATGCCTTGGCACAGTCCTTCCTTGTTTCCTGAGAGGGCGAGCGTGGCATGCTAGGTGGAACGTACACGGTCATATCTAGATAAGGCCTGACCTTCGACATGGGCTCGGAGCAGGATCTCTCAGATTCAGCCTCAGATACTCAGGTTTTCCATTTTAAGAAAGCAATTTTCGTTGGATTCGTGTAGCTACGAACACGTTGACCATCACCCTCAAAAACATAGTTGCCTTGGTTTTCCTAATTCAGTTTCGACCGGAACATCTCTGGAGTAGATTTTGTTACCAACTTGCTTTTGCAGCAAATGGAATAAGAACCTGCGAAAACCTATTCCGATCGGAGTAACGTTATATAATTGCGTTTCTTAGTTCTTGTGATCTTTATGCCTTCAAAGGCTTGCGCTGAACACAGGCTTTAACCCAGCAGCGCTGCGAATCCGAACCAAATTACGGCTATTCACACGACAGCGCGCGAGAACCGTCCCCTGGATCAGCGCTGACGGCCCCGGCTGGCATCTGGAGGCCACGTTCGCCGCTGTCGGTCACCTCGGCCGTCCAGCTGCTGTCACACACACAGCACTTCTAGGCGGGCTTCCCCTGCTGGAGTGTACATGCACACGCACGCACGCACGCACGTACGCACGCACGCACGCACGGAGTCGTCCGAGTCCTCCGAGGCTTGGAAAGACCATCGTGTTACAACACACGTAGGGTGATCGTGGAGTGGTCCATAAACCCCGATCACGCGTAGCAGTACGCTACCGCACATATCCCCGCCCAACAGGTATGTGTGGAAGTCGCCGCACGCTAGCATTTCGCCAGGTTCGTTGGGCCGGGGCAGGATGCGTTTATACGCAATTGAAGCGAACGGCGATGGAACGCTTCAGCCGCCTTATCTCTGGGACAGTGCCGGCAGCCGACCACTGGCGCTCGCCGGCGGCCCCTGCTGAACCGCCGGAGACGCTGTGGTTGGGATGCTGGACAGGGGCCCGCTCGCATTCATGCGCCTTGGAGGTTGCGTGCCTTGAGTGAAAAGAAGCCTTGCGTCAGAAGACCACATTAGAGCACCCGTGAACGACGGGATGTGTGTAAGCCTTTCATCGAAAAGTATTCCTTCTTTCAAAATGTGTATGAATGTGAGAGGCAAGGCTAAAAAATGTGTGAATGTGAGGGGCAAGGCTAAATTTAATTTCTTCTGTTAAAATTGGATGTGCAACTCTTGCAGACACCACCAAAACCATCTGCAATGGACGCATGACATTACTTACTTCAACATGACGGCGGGAAAGGCGCCTAGGACCACCCATGATGCATTCGTCCCCTTTTCGTCCGCCCCCGCTCCCTCTTGCATCCTGGAACAGCTTGTCTGCCGGGGGCATGCGTCAGCCACGAGCCATTCCCACGGCCACCCTGATCGCGGCTGTGCGTTTAACCGGGCATGGTGTTCAAAAGGGGGAGGGGGACAACTCGAGACACCTCCCGGGCGTCCGAGCACCAGGGCCAAGGACCACAGCACTCCGGGCCGGTAGACGACCAAAGAAGTCTCTGAAGTCACAAACATGGCGGGTACAGGGCGGTGCGGTGACGGTTTGGTCAGGTGCAGGGCGGTGCGGTGACGGTTTGGTCAGGTACAGGGCGGTGCGGTGACGGTTTGGCGCTCCTGACGGGATGGAGTTTTTCTCCTACAGGAAAGCTTAAGGCCTTGGCAAACCGGCCATCGTGCCAGTTATTTCGCCACCCAAAATATAGGTGAGTGACAGAATACCGAAGCGCAGATCATTTCTACAGTTTTCCGCATCGCCGGGTGGGATTTTCTTTGATTCTTTTGGGGATTTCGAACTCCTGTGAGGTCGAGATAAGGTATGAACGGAGGACGCCCGCTGCTGTCTCAAAACCATACCGCGCTCTCTGTGAGCCAGCTACCTTACGACGCCCTTGAGCTTCATAGGTGAGCGCGACCGTAGCGGCCGAGCCCTCCGAGCGGCGGGGCGCGCCCGCCGCTTCCGCCGCTGTCGCCGCTAAAAGCCCGCCCGCCGCGCCACACCCGTGGTCTGCCGGAGGAATGTCAATTTGGCCGGCTCGCCGGCGGCCGCTGACAGCGCCCCGCACGGCTCCCCTCGCGGACGTGCGTCAGGGGGCGCGACCTCCGACCTCTCCGGTCCGGCCTGCTGCCGCCGCCGGACGACGGGCGCCCGTGACCCGGCGCCACGCGCGCGCGAGAGATGGCCCACGGCGTCGCAGCGACAGCCGGAAATGAGCCACCGTGCTGCGGCAAAATGGGAGGCCCCGGCTCATTGTACGGCCGGCGAATGGCGCGCCGGCCGGTCCCAGAGCGCTCCGCCGGCCGCGCCGCTGGGAGAGCCGTGAGCTCACTACCTCAGGGTGACGCTGTCCGGGCCGTGAGCCGCTCACTACCTCAGGGTGGCACTGTCCGGGCCGTGAACCGCTCACGAACTGAGGGTGATGCTATGTGGGCCGTGAGCTCACGACATCAGGGTGGCGCTGTCCGGGCCGTGAGCCGCTCACGAACTGAGGGTGGCGCTGACCGGGCCGTGAGCCGCTCACGAACTGAGGGTGATGCTATGTGGGCCGTGAGCCGCTCACATCAGGGTGGCGCTGTGCGGGCCGTGAGCCGCTCACGAACTGAGGGTGGCGCTATCCGGGGCGTGTCGCTAACGACGAGCCATTACTATTCCTTTGTTTGCCGTCGGAGGCTGGCCGGCTGTCTGTCTTTCCTCCGAATCGGTGTGATCTTTTCGTCGGGAGTGACTGCGCTTATCGCTGGCTGCCATTGTCACCTGTCCTTTTGTTCTCGATCTAGTGTGTTTGTTTCCATCCTGGCCCGTTGTCACTCTCCGTTTGATGTGAGACAGTGTCCCCTTTGTTTTATCATCACGCGTTGCTCATGTCCTCTTCCTCTGTTACAGCGTGGTAAAGTCGCTGGCAAACAACAAGGAGGACCGCAAGAGGGTGGAGAAAGCTCTGGAGGCGTCAGGCCTGCCCAGCGGCAAGGTGAGGCCCACCTCGCCGTCCTCTCCAGCTGGCCCTGCCCACCTCGCCGTCCTCTCCAGCTGCCCCTGCCCTCCTCGCCGCCCACTCCAGTCCGCCTTGTCCACCGACCGACCCGTCCGCCGCCGCCGCCGCCGCCGCCGCGCCGCCGCCGCGAGCGCCGCTCCTCAGCGGGTGGCGGCTCGGGTGCGTGGCTCGGCCGGCCGGCCGCTATCGCGCCGCCGCCGCCGCCGCCGCGAGCGCCGCTCCTCAGCGGGTGGCGGCTCGGGTGCGTGGCTCGGCCGGCCGGCCGCTATCGCGTCGCCCGGTGACATCCTGTGTGTAGACGGGCGGACCGGCGCGCCGCCCGCCCGCCTTGGCCGGCGGCTCCGGTGCCGCCAGCCGCCGCCTGCAGAAAGCGGCCGCTCGGCCCCACGCTGCTTTGTCTGGATTCCCCGGTCGGTGCCCGTGGCGCGCATGCTCCCGGCCGTGTCGGCAGACGCTGCCCGGCTTAGCTGTATCGACACGGTCACGGTCACGGTCACGGTCACGGTCACGGACAGCGTGACCCGTGAAGTGGACTTTCAGTTACCCCTTTCTCGTGTGGCTTGGTGGGCCCGGTTCAAGCCGCCACCACTTTGTTGCGAAATCATTCCCTTGTATGCTCGGGCCATTTCGTTCCAGATGCATCTCATGCCTGCATTCTTTTTTCCCAGTCTGACACCCTTGAACCAGAAATGTTCACCTTCAAACACTTCTTGGCCTTCTACATGCACCTTACCGGACGGCAGGAGATTGAGCGGATCTTCGACGAACTGTAAGCTGACTTCTCAGGTTGTGTGATCTTAGAATGAATGTGGATCTGTGGTGGCCACTGTGTATGACACTTTTTCAACATGATGTCTATGTTCAAACATTGCACGTCACATTGTGCGCCACATATGGTGGGCTGTGGTCGTGAGTTAAGAGTGTTTTGTTTTTATTTTTGCCGTGTGCAGCTGACGTCCATGTTTGATCTCTTTCACTCACATCAAGTATGCGGCGAATCCTTCTTTGTTAGCTGTTGCGGATACCCCCCTCCGCCCTCCGGGCAGTTATCTCTCGAATGAAGCGGCCAACAACTCTGGGATGTTCAGTTCAGCGTCGGCAGCCTTGCACACGGCCACCCTTTGAGGCGCCACGCGGCACGCGCCAGATCGCTCGCCCGGCGAGTTCCGGTATCGACGTGGGGCGGAGCGGCGGTCGGGGCGAGCGCCGTCTGGGACACTGACTGGATCACTGCGCGCCTCATTAGGATGTCGCGTTCCGATGGGACGCGATCACCGGTCGCCGGCGGCCCGTCCTGCCAGCCGCGGCGGCGCCGGCGGGATGCTGCGCGGGCTCGCCGCCGGCTGCTGGCTGCGGCCCGGCAGACGCGTGCCATGTTAGATACCGTGCCGACACTTGCCACGGTCGGTGGCAACGTGCCGACACTTGCCACGGTGATTCGAATTCTGGAGGGGGGGGGGGGGGGCAATTTTAGATGTCATGCACCGCCGACTGCGCCCGTTCCACCCTAGCAGTCGGTTCCCTGCGCGACTCGCCCGATCCTCTTCACAGGCGGCAACTTCGGCCATCGCCTCATCCCCGCCCGTCAGGCACGGGGCCCGGTTCTCCTTCGGCCCCCTTCCGTTCCTACCAGGGCGAGAGGCTGGCCACGCCGCATAGCCTCAACAGCTGGGTGCGCCTTGAAGCCCCAGTGACATCGCCGTCCCGCGGGCTCCCCCAACGGGCCGCAGCGGTCACCAGACCGCGAGGTGGAGCCGCCTGCCCTGGCCTGAGAGAATGCCGAGACCTGCCGGCATTCTCGCGCCGCCCGGTCTCGTCGCCCCGGGCGGCGGAACCGAGTCACGATGGCGGCGCGTACCCGGCGCGGCCGTCGCCGATTGTGGCGCGGCCGTCACCGATTGTGGCGCGACGCAGCCGTCGCGTGTTATCGGCTGCCGGCGACGCGGCGCTGCCGTTGGGCGGCGGCCAAGGTCGCCGCCGCCGCTGCAGGCAGGGCCGCCCGGTGATGCTCAGTCCCGGTCTCGGTCCGGTCAGGCCGGCCGCGGCGGCGGCGTGGCGCGTGCCGGTCGGCCGCCGCCGCCGCCGCCACCGGCCATTGTGCCGGCTGTCGACCCGTTGGACGAGGCGCACCGCCGGCCGTCGGCGGCGCGTCACTTTCGCTTTGTTTATATTCCGGGCTCCGGCGCGCGTCGTCGACGCTCGACAAATGGTGGGTCGTATTGGGTCGGCTCTCTTCCGCAGAGGAGGGCCGCGAGCTGCCAAAAGGATGCCGAGGGTGGCTGCTGGGGGGTGGACGGATGACCGCCGCCGGTTTGCTTGTAGGCGCAATTACAAGACTCGCTGACGGGGCGCAAAGTGACCACTGCAGTCGACGCGCCTGAAAACACCAATGAACAACAACAAGACTCGCTGACACGATATGCCGCTGTGTCCGGCACCGCACAAATGCAACCGCGCGTTCGTTTTTAGAAGTGGCGGGTTTGTTGAGCGCCAGCGGGGCGGGTGGCGTCGCGGTGAACGCTCGAGCGGCTCACCTTGTTAGCGGCGCCGGGGTAATCACGTGCCGCCGGTGACGGCTGGGCGGGAGCCGGCCACTGGAAAATCGAACCCATTGAGTGCCTGCCACCGCCCACCCGGTAGCGATCCGTGCCCCGGGGTCGAGTGTGTGCGTGTGCTAGCGTTCGCTGCCGAAGGCCATTCTTTATGGCTGACTCTGGCCGATGGTTCGATCTAGTGATGTTCATGCCGAACCACGGATGGAGAGGCGACGCTCTCGGCGTCACAGAGCCCAGCTGGTGCACGACCACACTGGTGCTGGCTGAGACGAGTGGGTATGGGCTCGTGTGCTGTCCGCTCGTGAGTATGTTCGCGGGCCAGAGCGCAAGGGGACCTTTGATGTCGATGCGCCGTAAAACCTCACATCATCGTTATCAGAATACTTGTGGGCTATTTTTCAGCTCAGTTCATGTCCCTGGATTAGGTTTGGCATGGTGAGCGCAAACTCTTAAGCTGACTCTTGATTTTGATTAGTTTTTTTGTTGCTTCACATTCATGAAATAACGCCGGTAACGAGAGCGCGTGCACCGGTCTCACCACCTACCTTCCCCTCTGTATGTTGTCGAGCAGGCCAAGAACGGATTAAGGCTCCTGGTGGATACAAGCCGCGTGATTTCCCTTGTAATGCGAACGGGACACGCGCTGTAACCTAGGCTTTCCTGACAGTTCTGACGCGCGCGTGATGTGCTCACCACAAACACCCCCCGGCTGGTGCAGGCGATAAGATCGGGCTGTTACGTTGCAACCCCGTTACAGTGCGGCTCTGTATTTCCGCGGCGACTTCTCGCCACATCGTTGGGCCGGTCTCCACTGCCAAATCCGCACCGCTGCTCGGCGGCTTTAAGCTTTCGGCCGTGAGCCCCGGGCTTTGATCGCGCCCGACCTCGCTGGCGGGTTTTGCCGCGCGAGGGTCGCCCGTCGTTTCCGCCGTCGGGCGGGGCCGGGCCGGGCCGGGCGGACGAGCGGCCGTCGTCGGCGGCGCGGCGCTCCTGTTTACCGTGGGCGGGGCGCGGGGCCGCACTCACCGGGCGGGCCCGAGCCGGCCCCGTGTTTATACGCCCCGTGCGCCGGGCGCCCGCCGCTGCTCGAGGCGCCCCGCCGGGCCGGGTCAGGCAGCCGCCGCCGCCGGCCGGGTCGGCGGAACTGGGTCAGCGGCGGCGGGAGGGGGCAATACGGCCGGCTCGGACCGGCCGGCTGAACTGCTCCGGTGTCAGCGGTGGGATACAGATGGGCGCGCCAGCTGACGTACGGCGGCCATGCGTCAGCCGGATAATGGACCTGGCGTGCATGAGCGGCTCCAGAAATGGCTAGGAACATGGCAGCGGCACGGCGCGATGAGCTCGCAAATTGCTATCGCCGGGAAGGCGGAGCTCAAATTCTGGCTCGCACTATCACGTCGTCGGCCCGTGCGGCGGGCTTCTGCAGCTAGGGCGTGATTTCATCAGGGGGGTCGATGGAGGTAGTGTTAACATGGTTTGCTTTGGCACGTGGGATATCATTATCAGAGTAATGCTGTAAGATAGGGCCGGTTTGGTTTGAAATATCAAATGCAGTTGAGTGGTTTCATGACGGTCTGTACCTGAGAGGCGGGGCAAGTGTAGCTGCCAGACCACCTCGGAAACAACACTGATTATTGCGTCTAGGGTTCGCTGTCAGCGCTTCATGAGCAGGTACCGGTGCCGCGGCGTGGTGGACTTGGCCGAAAGGCTGGTTTTAAGGTGGACTCGGCGTATGAAGGGGGAGGCATTGGAGGATAGGACGAACGCCGACACCGGCTGGGTGAGGTCAGCCGCTCCGCACGTCTCAGTGCGGCCCTGAGCTCCGCCTCGGCGTGCCTGGCCTGGACGGGACTGTTTCAGGTGCGGCGGCAACAAGCGGAAGGGGCACATGACGGTGCAGCAGGTGGTGGACTTCCTCAACAAGGAGCAGCGCGACCCGCGGCTAAACGAGATCCTCTACCCGTACGTGGACCCGCAGAAGGCACGCGAGATCATCGCCCAGTACGAGCCCAACAAGGCGAACGTGCCAGAAAGGTGAGAGGCGACGGCGCCGCGCCGGCGCCGCGGCGCAGAAGCGTCCGCTGCCGGCGGGGTCGCGCCGCCATCGAGCAGAAAGTCGTCTCAAAGTCGGCCCATTTATACCTCGTGTCTTGAAACGAGCGGACTGCGGACCAACTCGTGGCTGCTTGTGCGCTCGCCCATTTCGTCGCCGTGTGCTCGTCACCTTCGGCGAGTTATCGACCGTTTTACGTCGCTTGACTCGCTTTAGCATATTCAGTGTCCGGTGGAAGGCTGGTCGCTTGAACTGGCGCCAAGTTTACCCTGCTTGCCTCGTTCTCGCTAACTATGTGAGACCGGACGCTTAATTCTCCCACGCAAAGCCGCCGGCGCGCCACTGAGGTGGTGTACGGGAACATCGCGATGGGCCGCGACTGACGCTGCCCGCCGCCACAGGGCTGATGAGTCTGGAGGGGCTTCAATGACAGTACTTGATGGGCGACGACAACGCCATCGTGCCGCCCGAGAAGTACGACCAGTGCGACGACATGGAGCCAGCCCGATGTCGCACTACTTCATCAACTCGTCGCACAACACTTACCTGGCCGGTAAGGCACGTGGGCGTCGTGGGCGGCCGACCGCCAGGCCGACTGATCGGAGCCGCTGTCTGATGCTCGGGCTCGGCTGCAGGGACGTGTGCGGCACTGGGCGGCGGCGCGCCGGCGTTGGCTGTTTGTTGACGTCGGGGCGCTGGGGTGGACCTCAGCCTGGCCGACCCGCCCGTGAGGGACCCGTGGGGTTCTACAACAGATCCGCGAGGTGTTCGTGTGCGGACCATAAGGGATCAGTGGGATGTCTTTTGTTATTGTGTTTTACCTTAGGTAAATATTTAGTCCGAAACTTTTGAGTATATTAATTTCTAAGGTGATCAAAGCTCACGCTAAGCAACGCTTGCTATATATGCCGACCTACCATGCGATCGTGAAATTCCAGGTCTACGGCAGAATTGGTGGCGAAAGTTTAACGTGTCGCGATGCTCGGCGTGGTCGTCCCCCCTCTGACGTCGCCTGACCTTAAGCGCAGCGGCTGCCTTCGGGCGCTCGCCATTCCAGTCAGGGATAAGTAGCGGATGCCCAGAGCAACTCGAACCCGGGCCTGCCATGGGTGGGTGGATCAGAAGGCAGGCGCTCTCGCCAGCTGAGCTATCGGGGCGGACCAGGGGGATCGGGGTTATCCGCGGGTAGCCCGTGGCTGGCTGCGTCTAAGCTGTGGACGGGTCGTGGGGATCCGTGGCGGATCCGTGACGGGTGGCCCGGCCGGACCGGCGGCACCACCTACCTATCTGGGATGTCGACTGCGCGCGGCCCGTGCGGGTCCGGACTTCTACCAGCGGGGGGCTTGCAGCCGGCCGGGGTGCGGCGGTAGCTTCAGCGTGGTGCTCTGGGTCAGTCTGGTGACGGTCGACCAGCGTTATGACCAGTCACTGCCCTGTGTCACGACCGGATGTCAGTCTCCGTGGAGGCGCGACCGCCACGTCTCCCGTGCCGCCCGGTCTGGCCCAGTTGGCGCAAGCACCGACCGGCTCGTTGCCGTGCTAGTGGTCGGAAGATATCATCGCGCCCTGGCCGATCGTGACCCGTTCCGCGCTCGTGTTGCGTGTCGCGAGATAACGACTCATTAGTTTGGGTAAATAGCATCGTGAATTGCCTCCGACCTGCGGGCTCGCCTGGTCACCGTCTAAACGACGATTTATCGGAGATGTACACTACCGGACCGGGGCTGACCTGACCTGACGTGACCTGACGTGGCCTGACGTGTGTGCCCTCAGGTCACCAGCTGACGGGCCGCTCGTCGGTGGAGATATCGGCAGTGTCTGCTGATGGGCTGCCGCTGCGTGGAGCCTGGACTTCTGGAACGGACGGACCGAAGAGCCGATCGTGTGCCACGGCTACACGCTGGTGCCTGAGATCCCCGGCCAAGGTGGGCGGCGGGGGCCGCCGCGCGCCGCAGTGCCGCTGCTCGTGCCGGCACGCCGCCATCGGACGGGCGCCCGGCTGGTGACGGTCCCCTGAGGCGGCCGCACCGAGCCGGCGAGTGCTCTCGCCGCTGCGAGCGGCCGCCATTAGCGGGGGTCGTGCCGGCGGGCGGGACGGCGCGCCGCGTCGACCGGAAGACGTGTGGCGTGGCGCGGAGACTGCGGACAGCCGCCGGCGGCCGCCGCTCCCCCGGCGGGCGTTGCGACAGAGACGAAGCGGCTGCGGGCGGGGGACCGATGGCGGCGATTTCGCCCATAATGCGGCTGCTTGTCGCCGCCCGAGCGCGGCGGCCAGAGGCCTGTCGCCGCCGGCTGGCTCCGCCCTCACTCGGGCCCTCTGTCCGTCGGTAAACGATGCGCGTCCGGGTTCCGACCCGGATGGGGGAGCCGCGGGGGGCACTCTGGCTGAGTACCGGGCTGGCCGGCATCGAGCTCCCGGGAGCGGCGTGTTTGGACGGCCTACGTGCCGAGGGCGCCGACGAATGAGCGGCACGTGACCGGTGGCCGCGGCGCGTGTCGCCGCCGCCCGCTCAGATTCGATCAGAGCGCGCCGACGGCCCGCCGCCAAATGACCCGTGCAAATGCCGTTGCAGGACGTGATCGAGGCGATCGCCGAGGCGGCGTTTAAGACGTCGGACTGGCCGGTGATCCTGTCGTTCGAGAACCACTGCAACCCCAAGCAGCAGGCCAAGATCGCACAGTACTGCCGCGAGCTGTTCGGCGACATGCTGCTGGACGCGCCGCTCGAGGACCATCCGGTGAGGGAGGGCTGGCGCTCCCGCCAGCCGTTCACCCGAAGACGGCGCGCCGCGTCCCCTCCGGCTCCCAGTCAGGCTGAATGGAGCACTTACGCTGCCGGGCCGGAGATGTCGCCGTACCGGTCGTGTTTGTGTTGCGCCGAGGCCGGCCAGGGCGCCCGGCCGGCGATGTCTAACCGGGAAGACGGCGACCCTGGTTAGGTCTTGGACACTCACTCACTCCCTTCACTCACTCACGTCACACTCACAT